CCCGGTAAGCCTGGGATAGCGTGTACATAGATAGCAGGCAAGATAAGAATATGCGGGCGAAGAATGTTTGGTGTAGAAGGGGATTTGGGTGTAGATGAAATAATTGATGTAGACGAGAGTAGATGAGTTGTTAATGCAGATGAGATTGTACAGACGAGATTGATTGACCCTTTTGATCATCTGATTAAGATGAGAATGCTTAATGTGAACGAGAATGTTGATATAGATGAGAATGTTACTGTAGACGAGAATGTTGATATAGATGAGAATGTTGATATAGATGAGAATGTTGATATAGATGAGAATGTTAATGTAGATGAGAATCCTCCAAGTAGATAAAATAGAATGTTAATGTAGATGAGAATCCTCTTAGTAGATGAAATAGAATGTTAATGTAGATGAGAATCCTCTTAGTAGATGAAATAGAATGTTAATGTAGATGAGAATCCTCTTGGTAGATAAAATAGAATATTAATATAGATGACAATGTTGATGTGGATGAGCATGTTAATGTAAATGGGAATGTTAATGTACATGTGAATGCCTAATGTAGATGAGAACGCTTGAGATGAGAATGTTAATGTAGACAAAAATGTTAATATAGACGAAAATGTTAATATAGACGAAAATGTTAATGTAGATGAGAATGTTAATGTAGATGAGGATCCTCTAAGTAGATGAGAATCCTTGATGTAGATGAAAAAAATCGCATATCCTCATTTGTAGCTGTCCTCGATGTGTCTTGGAATCAGACTACCTCGGAGAGCTAGAGATAAGGACCACATGCCTCCAACACTAGAGTTCTTGTTTCAACTCTTGGCACACCTGCGTTTCGTTATGCTCAGTGCTTGAAGAGCGAATTGCAATCATTTCCCCTACAGCCCTTCTATTTTCGATGCTTTTTCAGAACACAGAGCAAAACGCTCTACCAGAATCTCAATATTGTGGCCACAGAGAAAAGCGACAAACAGTGATCACGACGAGAGAAGCGTCGAGGAAGATTAGAGGAAAGACGGATCATTTGTGTCGGCGCCACTGCGCTTTACTAAACAATCATCTTATATTGATTTCCGCCGGGCCCACACGCCCCGTTTCTAACATCACATAAGTAAAGTTTGCTGGAGCATAACCACTCAAATCAAACGCTGAAATTTCCACAAAAGTTGATAGGCCGCAAGGGAACATAACCGACCCACAGATTCAAAGATCGGAGAGACGATGCAAGAGCAATGGGTTCGAGAGCTTTAACAAGTTAATCCAGATACGCATTAGTCTCTGAATATTTATTAGATCGAGTCTTCTTGCGATCCGGTTTCTATAGGCAATGAAGCAATGTAGTCTATGGTACGAAGAATCGAAAAGACACTGTGCTCATGGGGCTTCTGTAGGAGAGCAACAGGGATAAAATGGCTTGTGTATCCGAATATCTCGCTGTCACGATACCTGGCTTCGATGCTGGAAATAATCTCCTCCATCGTCATCTTTGCAAAGATCAAAAAACGTTGGATTTTCAAAAGAAAACAATGCAACGAGTTCAGTTGTCTTTTTACAAAAGCAAAGCAGAAGATGGTTCAAGTTTGTCAAATCACCTCTATCCGTGCATCGAGCACCAGTCCACGTCGACTGGTCGAAACCAAATCCAACGCAGGCTCAGAGGCCAAAGAGATACTGTACAACATATAAAGTAGAATAAAAGAGATTGAGAAAAGGAGAAAGAGAAAGGTTGAAGCTGGTAGTTTTAGTAGGGCGAGGTGAACAAACAGATGGTTGAGATGGGGGAACGTTCCATCTTATCTCTACGTAAAGGGACCGATGATGAGTTTTGAATGATATGATTTTGTACTTCCTGAAAGTTTATCAAAATAAATACCCACCTGATTCCAGTTTGCTGCAAAACTTTCGCTCCCTGCCCTAGAAATCCCAGCTCCAGAAATCTTCTCACTGCTCCAACCTACATCATTCAACCCTCACCCAGCATAAAGCACAGATGAAACTCAAACGACATAAATCTTCACAAAACTTCTGAAACCTTCATCTCTAAAACAAGAAGCTAGGCCCCGAAACAAACCTTCACCAAAAGAATATCTTTTTCCAATATCACCCCAAACAATCCAAAACCATACCTCACAAAAACTGAAAACTCATGCAAGATTCACCCAAGAGTCCAAACACCATGCTTCCCTCCCAACTGAATAATTAACTACAAGACTGGGAGGAAATAACGTACTTTAGATCAAACAATGAAAAAACATACATCAGAAAGCTCCTCTTTCTATGATCCATTAAACTGGGTCCCACTACGTCATGGCAACAAAAGGGCGTTAAATGAAAAGAAACATACAGAGTACTAAACGAGGAGTGCCGAAACTGGCCTTCCCAGATTCTATGCCAAAAACCGCACAAACTCAACAAATCTACCGAATTGGAAGATTTTTGGAAGATCTGGAAGAAATTCGGATGGAAGGTTGATCTGGCTCATGGGTTCCATTGTCGCCGCACCACCCACCATTTCCCGAACGCTGACTTTTCGCACCCAAAAACCCTTAGGGCTGCAACCCTAGCACCCACGGCCGGGCGCCGCACACTGTTAGCAAGGATTCCTGCACACACGCCGATGCTCGCTCTCGCGTTAGGAAAAAAATCTTTTTTCCACCGTGACGTTTCCTTTCCACCAACTACTCTATATCCAAAATGTCCTTAGTCGTTCAAGAAGACGGATCCTTCCAGCACATTTTGCGGTATGTTTCTTGCGCCCAAATTTCATGCGTGTTGTTCTGAGAGAAGGTGGCTGGCCGCATGCTGACCGGCGGTGCTTGTGGCCAACTGGCCGGCCTGTTTCATATGTGTTCCATGGCCGTTTTAGACCCGATATATGCTACCAATGCCTTGGGAATCGTATTTCCGACGGGATTCTGTCAGCTAAGAGGCACAAAAGAAATCTATTGAATCCCAAGTAGAAGGCCGGTACGCCAAAAGTCATGCGGCATTACCTAGCCACATCGTCTTTCTTCCACATGAAAATCCCAGAACCTCGATTCTGCTCCCTTCTCAGATTGGAACCATGCATCCGGAATTGCTCCATTATCATGTACTAACAGAACAGTTTGTTGAACACCAACATCGATGGTAGAATCAAGATCATGTACGCCTTGACCAAGATCAGAGGTGTCGGTAGAAGATACTCCAACTTGGTCTGCAAGAAGGCTGACATTGACTTGAACAAGCGTGCCGGTGAGTTGACCCAGGAAGAGTTGGAGAGAGTCGTCACCATCATGCAAAACCCAACCCAATACAAGATCCCAGCCTGGTTCTTGAACAGACAAAAGGACCAAGTTGACGGTAAGGACTACCACGTCTTGGCTAACCAGATGGAGTCCAAGTTGAGAGATGACTTGGAGAGATTGAAGAAGATCAGATCTCACAGAGGTATCAGACACTTCTGGGGCTTGAAGGTCAGAGGTCAACACACCAAGACCACTTCCCGTGGCCGTTAAGAAGCCACGCGTTCACAAGCTGGTCATTACTACTCATGTAATTAATTTACGTTTTCATAAGTGCTGCTGTAGTGTAGGATTTGGGCCGTTGTCCGTGTTGGTTTTTGGAGCTATCTGAGACATCTGGAGGTGTCTAGGTGCAGGGAATGTGGCAAATGGACAGCTGCTTTGGAGTCATTGTAACCGGAGATAACCTTGTATTTGTATGAATGATTGACTGAGCTTGTGTGAGTAATTTTTGCATGATCTTGACGTGAGGGGTAGAGTTGCACCCATGAATTCAATGTGGTTCAAGCCGGCCCGATTCTCGCCTAGCCAATTTGAAGGTTTTTGGTATAAAAGAATCATGGGGATAAAGATATGGAGATCGTCTGTCTAGAAAATGTGTAGGAACGTTGGCTCAAATTTTCGCTCGTGTTCAAGATGCTTTTGGCAGGCTTAGTCTGGTGAAGTTGTTTCTTTGAACACTCTTTTTTCAAGCCCACTGTTAGGTCTTTGGTAAATTTTGTAAATCAGAGTTCAGAAGATATGTCTTCCTGTGACACGACGGAGTTCCCTCGTTAGACTTCAGGGCGCTGCTGATCCTCAAGCTTATCATAGTATGGGGTATGAGTGTGTCCAGTGTTGTACGATATTGCGACACCCCAGGCGAAATGTGAATTTGATAGTTTGAAAAGCATTGCCAGCCACCATGCCCAGATGGAGTATTGAGGTAAACCATCGTTTATTGTGACCTAGTAGTCGTATGAAAAGGAGGCAGGGAACAAGAAGTGTATAGTTTGTCAAATAACAAAAGCCGGCTTCAAGCCGCAGTCTCTAACCGGATATTCGGCATGATGGGTGACGATGATGTATTTGCTACAAATATAGAATGAACGAGCTTAGGCTACAAATGTGCTGGATGTCTTTTTTCGGAGCTTCTGATTTTCTGCCACCGAAGAAGAGAGGTTTCTGATAAGCCTGGAATGGAGCGTCCATCAATTTGAAATGGCGAGGGCTATAGCCACGATTGCTTGGTGGCACTATAACCAATACAGCACTAAGTCTAGGTAAGTAGAAAATTGTGCTTTTATATTCTTTTCACCAAATACATCAGGAAATTTTGATACTAATAGCATTCTTAACATGTGGATCATCAAATCCAGTAGGATCATCAGGTAGTCCAGATCGTATATTGATTTATTGATGTGTCCTTTTTGAAGTGTGGTTGTGGTATTTCTCTTCAGTCGTTATAGAACAATAAGTGTTTCGCAACTTCAATCACTAGACTGGTATATAATTATATATATATTAGAGAGTGATTGGATTGCTCCCATACATGCAACTAACTTCTCATATCCTAACTTATCACTAGATCAACACAGTCCTATCTATACTTGATAGTCTTTTATTGATTTATGTAGGACCTACAACAAGAATATATATATTATGTCTCTTAAAAAAGATTTGATTTCCGATCTCCTCTTTTTTTTTAAAAAGGAAAGCAAATCCATTATAATTACGGTGATAGACATATTATAATGCCTGAATCAAGATGCATCCCACTTGTTACTTTCAGGAGATCGAGGGTTCATTGACTACCAAGATATACGCGGTTACAGTGCTGTCTTACTCATGCTTATAGTTGCTTTTAGCAGCGACATTCAGCGGTCCGGCTCCAGGTCAGCAGCCCAGGGCTCAGCATGTTTATAGCATGTGTAACGTTTCAAAGTCGGACCCCAAAGCCAAATTCCTTTTACTAGTGTGATTTTCCCTTAACATAGGAGCTCTTTGCGGGTGTTGTACGTAATGTCTCCGAGGACATCTGTGAAGACCGGAACAGAATCAGATCTTTGGTTCCAAAAAAAGAATCAAATAAAGCATGTATAATAGCTGGCTCCGATTCACCGGGCCCACAGGAAAGATGAGATTTCAATCAGGATGCACGACATCATAGACATCAATTGAATCGATGAGAATAATTCGAACCGACATTGATGCACTCTAACCGCAAAGCGGACCAAATGCAAATACACTTGGTTAATTTTATTGAGTCATGTTGGACTGAAGGCAAATGCCTTTTTCATTGGATCAAATTTGGTGAATACGTATAAATCATCCAAATGAAGCAAGAAAGAATGAACTAACCATGAACAATCCACAAGCAATTTGCAATCAATTAAAAATACTAAATATACAATAGTAACCAGTAAATGGTCAATCACTAAAAAATCATAAACAATCAAGTATTAGTCAATTAGAAAACAGGCAATAAACAATCTATAAACAATCAAGAATTAATCAATCAAAAATTAATCAATAAAAAATCAATGAATAATCAGTAAACAATCAAGAATCAATCATTAAACAACCAAAGAATAATCAGTAAACAATCAAGAATCAATCATTAAACAACCAAAGAATAATCAGTAAACAATCAAGAATCAATCATTAAACAACCAATGAATAATCAGTAAACAATCAAGAATCAATCAATAAACAACCAATGAATAATCAGTAAACAATCAAGAATTAACCAATAAAAAACCATAATAATCAGTTACAATCAAGAATTAACCAATAAAAAACCATAATAATCAGTTAACAATCAAGAATTAACCAATAAAAAACCATAATAATCAGTTACAATCAAGAATTAACCAATAAAAAACCATAATAATCAGTTAACAATCAAGAATTGATCAATGAAAAACCACTTATCATTCAATACAGAATCACTTAGCATTCAATAGACAATCACAAACCAACCAATAGCCAACTAAACAACCCACACTCACCCACACTCAAAAAATCAAAG